GTTCAAAAAAAATCTTAATTTTCTGTTCTTTTATCTCGTTTTGCTGAACCACTAAATCTGCGAACCTTGTATTGGTATTTTCTGCTTGCTGCAGCCACGCGTAGCTGTAATCGCCAAGCACCTTAGCTTATCATAATCGATAGGCACCCTCTTTGAGAAGTTCCAACCTTAGCTTATCTCAAGATGAGTGAGTAAAATTTATTATGTCGGTAACTAGGATAACATATTTTGGTCTGAATGCATGCCCAGTTTGAAAATCTTAAGCATTGGCAATTTGGCACACATGCAAATCTGTTGTTCAGAGAAATTTTTTTTTTTTTGCCTCAAAGAATAATTTTGTATGATATATTGTGGTTAGACCAAAGAAATCATCTCCAAGTTTAACAGACTTCTACTACTTTTAGTCAAAAGAGCACAAGAAGATCATGTACCATGGTTCTTACCTTCTGTAGTTTTGGAATTTTTAGCATTGCTAAAATAACTCAAAAGAATTAAACTCTAAATAATCCGTATTTTTATGTGTGGAGTTTGTGATTGCACCAAGGAAATCATCTCCAAGGAAGAAGACCAGCGGCAGGACCGACCTACGTTGGGGTGATGTAACCCTACATCCTGGTACCCATATACCTTCCAACCAACTAGTATTATCTAACCCTAGATCCCGGTACCCATATACGTTGGGGTTAGAATATTCGATTAGATACAGAACCTCAGACCTATTGCTCAATCCCTCGATCTTTGTAAACCTCTATACAAGAGCAAGAAATAGGGTTTTACCTCCTCCGTGAAGACATAAACATGGGTAATCCTTGTCTATTTTCCATTTGATATACTCGTCTAGCCAATACACCCTATCGAGGGATCTACCGAAAATAACTAACATACTCCCTCAGTATGGCATGGCGTCTCAAATTTCAAATTTCAAAAAATGATCATTGATTCAAAAAATGTTCATGAATTCAAAAACTGTTCATGTGTTTCAAAAATGATTTATTAAAAACAAAAAATATTTGTGAATTTCAAAAGGTGTTCCCAAAGTTCAAAAAATGTTCACAATTTCATAAAATGTTCATGAATTTATAGAAGATCTTCATGATTTCAAAAAATGTTCATGAATTTGTAAAAAAAATGTTTAAGAATTGGAAAAATGTTTACGATTTCAAAAAATGTTTGACATGTTTGAGAGGACAGATTTTACATCACCACATAGATGGAACAATGAATAATAAATTAATTAACAAAGGTAACTCATATTATTTTTATTTTCTCGGATCACAAAGGCTCAAACAGATCAAACACTCAAAAATAAAACAAAGAAACAAAACATAGTGCAACACCACGAGTACGCTACCCCCCTGCTGTCCTCGACAAGTACCAACACCTCATAAGCACACAGCTTGTGCAAAGAGCAGCCACCATACAAACTCAATGGAATGCGCATTTGGTTACCGCTTGCAAATGCCAACTATCTAACCCCTCCTCCCTGGTGCTTCCTGCTTAGAAAGCCAATGGGGGCAGTGGCAGGTTGTTGGTGAGTCCTGACTTCATCCTCCTCTTCCTGAGTCTCTCGGCGATGATGAAAGCGAGCTCCAGAGACTGTGACGCGTTCAGCCTTGGGTCGCAGTGGGTGTGGTAGCGGTCACCCAGGTCATCGAAGGTCACGGTCCGTGATCCACCGATGCACTCGGTCACATTCTGTCCAGTCATTTCAAGGTGGATGCCTCCTGGGTGGCTTCCTTCTTGGTCGTGCACATCGAAGAATGCACGCACCTCATTCTGTTGATCAACACAAAGTTAATGTTAGAGCAGTAAATATAGGCCAAAAGAAACTTGTAAATGACTGGAAATGTTGTTTAACTAATAGAAACTCTTTGTTGCAACCAATCTATCTAGAATCAAGCTTTAGGCTCTTCACTGTAGTAAAATATTTTGTAGGGATTTATGCAGCAGAAAGAGCAACAAGCAAAATGTCAGATGGAACAGCAAGAGCAACCATCTTTCATTGCCCACTTCCATAGGCAGTTCAATCAACACAAATTTCACTTCAATTGCTCATCAGAACACATTTGATTGTGAAAGAAATGGCCACAACATATTTTGCCATGTCATGAATTTCAGTTTCATCCACAATTTTAGGAATGCAGTAGAATCCAGAGTAGAAAGACACTCACCATAATAGAGTCAAATGGACGAGTCTTCAGACCACATGGGGCCTTGATGGTGTTTCCGTGCATGGGGTCAGTAATCCATGTGACAATCTGTCCAGAATTGCGGACAGCACGGATGAGATGAGGCAACTTCACCCTCATGTTCTCAGCTCCCATCCTTGTAATGATGGTGATCCTTCCCGGCTTGTTTGAAGGGTTCAAAATGTCAATCAGCTTCACCAATTCAGCAGGGTTCATCTTGTCACTCACCTACATTCCACAAGTTCATGTTATTTTAAATTTCATCATCCAAAACACACCGAAAAAGGATTTAGATTTCCTTTGACCAAATCTTAAAATGAATTCAGTACTGACCTTAATGCCAAGAGGGTTGGCAATACCACGGAGAAATTCAACATGAGCCCCGTCGAGTTGACGAGTACGCTCACCAACCCACACCATATGGGCCGAGCAGTCGTAGAAAAGGCCACTTGTGGAGTCCTCACGGGTAAGAGCCTGCTCATATGGCAAGAGGAGACACTCGTGGGATGTCCAGAAGTCAGTAGTCGTCATTATCGGATGGTCCATCCCCAGCCCAGCTGCTGTCATGAAGCCAAGAGCCTCGTCCACCCTATGCGCCAACTCACGGTACCTATACACCATTCCACAGAAGCACTTAGACCATTAGATAACATATTGATCCAGCAATTACAGAAATATATATTCTGCAAACTACAGTAAGATAAGCAGCGACGAATACGCTAATAGCATTTCTGCGGTCCATCAGCAATTTGTTCTTATTAGTAAATCCTATTCCCAACAACAACATGCCATTTTTATTATGCCTTATTCTGATGATGACCCAGTAAGAAACTTTGTTAGAGCACCATCTTTTCCAGAGAAATAAAAAGGACTTCATGAATATACATTATTTGAGTTGCCTAGACACACCTGAAGAAAACACTGACTATATTAACTCGACACGGCTTAGTAAAAATAATAATTCCAACAAAGGTTACTGGTGTTTAATTGGACGCACGCCAATTGCATGGGCGATTGGCATATTCTGAGTATATACTGCAGCACAGCGACACCTAGGAAGATTCATACAACTAAAACTGAGCAAATCCCCGATGAATCATTCAGAAAGTTAGGTGCAGAGAAAGACAGCTTGAAAGAAAAGGACATCTAAAGCGAAAGTTTCCACATACTGGCCACTCGTCCACTCCTACCAACCACTGATTGATGAACCCAGAACTACCATGTGATTTGTTTAAACATTGGCAAGCAGTGAAGAACCACACAAAAAGCTTTTCTACTTAATTTTGAGGCTACAACTGAAAATATCTGCATATTCCAAGAACAGGACTAAGTGTCATACTCTCAAGAATATGTCCACCAATCTTTACTGACATGACAAGATTTTTACTAGAATAGATTAATACTTGCACCAGCAACCTATCACTTGCCTTATCGTGATAAGGAGATATGTGGAAGAAATTCCCCACCGATATTTTTAACAGGACAGCGAGTGCCCAAGCTGCACCAAAAGTTCTTCTAAAATTTCGAATGACAAAAGGCATAATTTTCCTCACCTGTCTCCCTGCTCGTTGTGATCCATGAAATCCAGGTTCCACTGGATGACCCGCTGCATAGCTGCGTAGCCTCCGGTCGCGAACGCGCGGAGCAGGTTGAGGGTCGCCACCGACTGGGCGTAGGCCCTGATCATCCTGTCGGGGTCAGGCGTGCGGCTCTTGAGGTCGAAGGCGTCGCCGTTGACGTTGTCGCCCCTGTAACTCGGCAGCTTGACGCCGTCCTTCTCTTCGAAGTTGTCAGACCTGGGCTTGGCGAACTGGCCAGCCATCCGTCCCACCTACCGTGTGCAGAAAAACAAGGAGCAGCAGATCGGATCAGATCTCACAAATCAAATGAGCGATGGACGTATCAGGTTCAATTCAATTCGGTTTGTGCAATCATCGGTGCGTACCTTGACGACGGGGACCTGGCCGCCGAACATGAGGACGGCGCCCATCTGGAGGAGCACGCGGAAGGTGTCACGGATGTTGTTGGCGTTGAACTCCTTGAAGCTCTCGGCGCAGTCGCCGCCCTGGAGGACGAAGGCGCGGCCCATGGCGGCCTCGGCGAGGCGGTCCTCGAGGTGGCGCGCCTCCCCGGCGAACACGATGGGCGGGAAGGTCTCGATCGTCTTGAGGACCGCGTCGAGCTCCTCCTTGTTGGGGTACTCGGGCAGCTGCAGCGCCTTCTTCTTCCTCCAGCTGTCGACGGACCAGCTCGCGGGCCGGGTCACGGCCGCGGCCTCCGGCGCCACCGTCGGGGACGAGGTCTTGGCTGCCGCGGCCGCCGGGACGGACGCGCCGCTCCTGGCGGGGTCGGCGGCGTGCACGGCGGAGATGGTGCGGCGCTTGAGGGGGAGGAAGCCCGCGCGGCGGGGCTGGGCCGCGCTGCCGGTCAGCGCTGCGGCCGCGGCGGCGGTCTTGGT